GGCTTGCCATTTGTGTTGCAAAAAAAAACAAAACACCAATAAGCCCCAGCAAGCTGCAGTGCCTGGGAAGCCCCAGGAAGTACCAGTAAGCATCCATTCGCCTAGCTGCTTTCTCTCCCAGTCGCCTGCACTGACCTTTCTCCTTTTGCGTCTAGCCGCTGCAGCCTAAACAGAAGCGCCTCTCTGCCTTTGCTGTCTTCTTTTCAGACCTGTGGCCACCATGCTACCCCAGGCGCTCCAGCTTCTCTGGAAAATTCTTCCTATGTGTGGCGCCCCCACCAGGCCCTGCAGTGCAGTGCAGTGCAAATAAGAATGCCAGCCAATGGGGAAGGCAGGAAATGGTTTTGCCCAATGGGAAAGTGCTGGGGCTTGCCATTCGCGCTGCAAAAAAAAAAAAAAAGCCCCAGCGAGCGCCAGCAAGCTGTAGCACCCAGGAAGCGCCTGCAAGCATTCATTCACCCAGCGGCCTTCTCTCCCAGTTCCCCACACTGACCTTTTGCCACCAGCCAGCTGGGTGGCTTTGAGCCAGTCCCTCTCTCTCAGCCCAACTCACCTCACAGGGTTGTTGTGGGGAAAATAGGAGGAGGAAGGAGTATTAGGCATGTTCACTGCCTTGATTTACAGGTAGTCCCCAGTTTAAGAAAGAATTCTTTTCCCAAGGTCTGTCCTAAGTTGAATTTGTATGTAAGCCGGAACAGTATTCAGTAGTATACATTATAACATGTATAATACTGCATAAATAGCATTGTGTAATGAACTGGAACCATTGTGTATTTAACTTGAATCATTGTGTATTTAACTCAAATTTTTCTACAATAGGTTTCGTTCTTAACTGTGGGTCGTCCTTAAACTAGGAATTGTATTTATAAAAATAATAAAGATGGGATAAAAAATCTAATTTTTTTTTATTTCTCTGATTATTGGGTGCATATATGCTCCATATTCCAATCAGAAATATTGTTTTCAAGCAGCTTTTTAGAAGGAGAAATTTTATTAATGGTAAACATATGTTACTAAAACATTAGATATAGATTAGATAACAATTCTGTGATGTGCAAAAGCATTGACATCCAAACAACAGAAACTGTACATTTTATTCTAATCCACATTCATGATAATGTCAACTAGGTTTCTATATTTATAGTATTAAAAAAAAAGTCAGGAAAATACAGTATAAGATTTCAAGATGGAGTGCATGTTTGAGAAAGAGAAAAACAGAGACTTGGATAAACAGTGGAAAGAGCTTTTTTCAAAGAGAACAAGTTTCTCCCCAACAGGCTTAGGAAAAGAAATGGCAGAGATTTATAGGACGGGGGGAGTGCAGTAATAACCGAACTCCCTGGTTAATTTGCTCAGTGCTAAATTAACCATGAGAGGTCAGAGTTTATCACAGTTACATTTCAAATAAGCCATGCCAAATTTGTAGTAATAAGATGCAGAGTAGTAAAAGATCCTGCAGTGATAGAGGCATTATTTTGTGCCTCAAATTAGGCATTAATTATAAAAATGTTTAGTGAAGTGAAAAGAGAGGAGCTAATGTCAAAAGAATTGGGGGAAGCATCTGGGCGTAGTCATCAGATCTTTCTTCTTTTGATTAAGAAAGGATATATTTAAAATATTTATTGTGGCAAATTTGGAATCATTATTTTTTAAAAAACAAAATATGTTTTTTGACACCATCATTAAATGTGGATTATAATGTAACAGGATAGTTTCAGAGGTATGAAAATGGTGCTCATATATCTAATGTACAAGGTTATCATCCTCTAGAATCTACAGCTGAAACAGTTTGGAACTTCCTAAAATCTAGAGCGTTGATGAAATGAGTTCCACTTTCTAAGAAGTGAAATAAAAAAAACTATAAATATAAATAATTGAAAATATGTTGACAAGGAGACATGAAATAATTATTGCTTGTGATTTGCTATTATTCTTGCAACTTATCAGGCAGCACATATGTTATTTACTCACAAATGGTGATAATAAATGTGGATATATCTATTTATAATGGAATTGTGTTGGGTAGTCTTATAATAAGCAAAATGTCTCAATCACAGTACTGTTTCCAAGAAATATGTTTTTTTTTTAATTCATGTTGTTGGCATGCATAGTGTTATTTCATAGTTTATTCTTGCAGTGTCCTCCGCTTAGTTTAAAATATATATATTGTTTTATTGATACAAGGCAAAAATCAAGTCTTGAAAGATATTTTCATATATTACTGACTTGATAATATGTAAGATTGCTTCAGTATATTTGATGTTATGATGGGTATAGTTTTAATATTTCATAAACTGAAACGTATTGGAGGTAGAAAGCATGTTTGAGTTGAAAATATAGAAATATTTTCAGCTAATGGACTAAAAAGTGACATGAAATCTGGGAAATGTGTTGTATATCCTGTGTTCTTTTAACATTAAAAATAATGTTTCCAATTTTTATCTCCCTCCCCAAAATTAGGTATGTTGAACCAATTAGTAAAATGTAAATTACTTTCTTGATTATTTATCTCAGTTTTTTTTTTAATAAGGACACACCAATTGTTCCTTGTATTTTAAATGCCCCTAATTCTTAAACAAATAAAATGAATATTTTGCTTTCTCTAATCCAGTGTGATCTTATTGCAGTTGATGAGCAAAGAATCTCCAGTCTCTGCCGGAAATGACGGTTATGTTGATCTTGACCGTCAGGTATGTAACTCCTATTGCTTCTTTTTCCTTCCATTAATGGAGTTCAATTTGCATAATTTTTGGGCCACTCATCTGTTTGGCTTTGCTTTTATCAGTTTATTTCTTTAAAAATCTATTGGAAAGTTTAAAGGAAACAGAAAACAAATCAGAGTGTTATTGGAACCTTTTCCTTAACTCCATTATTTACTGGTAAATTTTAGGAGTTAGAGTTAACATCAGTAAAGTACCACAATTGTTCTGTAAGTATCTTTGCCAAAAGGCAGCCCCGACACTGTTGTGTCACGTCTTGATTTTTTGAATCTAGTTACCAAAATTGAGGTCAAATGAAAGTCTGTTTCTCATATCCTGTTGAAAGTTTAAAAGCTAATTAGAGGCAAAGCTGTAGAAGCAAGCAGTTTTATAAAACTGATACTGGAATTGAGTAAAAAAGCAGTGCTTTTTTGTATTTTCTCTTTACATATCAAATCAAATTGTTAATTTCATCTGTAGCATTATTTTCTTTCTCTGCCATCTCAACAGTCAAGTTTGCTTTGTGTCAAAAACCTAATGACCCTTTTTAAACTAGCAAGCAAGTGGTTTACCAAATACATATCTAAAGAAATATTTTTGATTATTTTAGAGAAATGCTGCTTATGTTATTAAATACTGAACATTAATAAATTACTGAATAAAATACAGCAATACAGTGCTGAATATAATTAGGAATATGTTTTATGGCATTATTCTCAATAGACAAAATTAAACTTTGAAAGAATTTGGAATTATGTTGAACTTTTTTCAAAAATAATTTGTTTAATATGAGTGAAATATTTCCCAGCATTTGGTGGAACATCAAATGTAGATAGTGGCCTGCTTTAGATACATTTTATCTATTCTCTCTTAAATTGCCTTTATCCTGTATGGTACATATAAAGCCATATGAAAGAGTGTTTGGCTACTATAATGAATGCTTGATGCAAGCTGTTACTTTGTAGTAAACAGTTCAACATTACATACATTCTGTATTTTGTTGAGTTGGAATAGGTAGCTTCTTTGAACACAGATGGTTCCAGGTTGAGTCCCTTATTTCTCCACGTAAACAATGAGCAAATGTTGGGCAAGACCCTGATAGAATAGACAAAATTGAGATAGTTGGATTAGGTAATCTGACCTGGTAAGAGAGCTTCTTTAAGGAAGCCACCTTTCCTGATTTAGTGCTGTTCAGATGGACCAGCTTTCCCCAAATTTTCAGTTACAACTTGGAAGTTCATGGGTTATAGTCCAATTTATATGGCGAATACCAGTTCATAGAAAGTTGTCCTAGTAAGAATAGATACCAGAAACTTTGCAGATTTTACCTTTGTTCCGTGTGTTTCATTTCCTGGTCAATCAATGTATGTACAAACAGTTGAAATCAACACAATTCATTACTTACATCGTTAAGGGAAAAGCTTGTAAAGCTTGAAACATTATGTATAATGCATTTTCTTATATAGAAAGATTGTAATGCCTTATATGATTGAATTGATTGATTACATGCCCTCAAAACATTGTCAATTCTTAGCGACCACATAGACAGATTTTCTCAATGATGATATGTCCCTAACCTGGTCCTTCAGGCCTTCCAACGGCACCCTCATCACCACTGGCTATCTACCACCTTGCTGCTGGTCGTCCTTTTCTCTTTCCTTCCACCTTTCCCACCATTAGAGTCGTATCCAGAGATACATAATTGAAACTTAACTATAATTATAGTTAATATTGTTGTTACATGATTTGTATTTCTTGGATGATGTGACTTTAAAGTTAATTAGTGTATGAATAACAAAGTCTCGTGTATCTGGTAGAAATATCTCTCCTAAGATGCAAGATTCTGCCATATACACACAGTAGAAAAGTAATGATGTAGATTTTGTCTCCATGAAACAGAAAGCTTTGTAGATAAATTGTCAAAATAAACTATGGAGGCAAGCATAATTATTTTAGATATGGACAAATGAGTTCTTTGGATCACTATCCTCTTTTTTCTTTTCCATACCATTGTTTTTAATAAATGAAAATATATTGTATTTAAACACACAGTTGAAGAAAACAACGGAAGAATTAAATGAAGCCTTAGCAACCAAAGAAGAAATTGCTCAGAGATGCCATGAACTGGATATGCAAGTAGGCACAGTATTTTGCCATTATTTGCAAAATAGCATTGTGTATCTTTGATTTTAGAACAGGGAAGGCAGACTGTAGCCTGTCAACTCCTCTTTTATGAACCTTGAAGCCACCTCCAGCCACTATATAGTTTCTCATCATTCTGAGGCATGAAACTTGCAGAAATAGTAATTTGTGTTTTTGCCTTGTTCATTGTTGCCCCACCAAAACACCCCAGATCCTTCCTACAAAAGAACGGTGCTTTTGCTGGTTCATGATTGAACAGTCTGTGAAGCTGAGTGAAATAATTCATACATTATTTAAAACAAACATCAAGGATCTTGTAGAACTACATCATAGAGATTCCTCTGTCTTTATACTGCCTTATACAAGTCCCTTTTCCCTCTTTCTGATTTCTGTTTCATAGCAAATCATAGTCTGTTTCATTCAAGTATACCAACAAATTATGGTTGGCCATAAAAAGAGCCAGTGAATGAGGATCAAATGTGTGATCCTGAGGCTTTGTGTCAAAACCAATGGTACACATCATTAGTAACTTAAAATCAACCAATCTTGTATCACTGAGTGTGTACTATTAAAAAAAAGATAATTGACCTGAGGCAGCACTATATTTTCACTTCTACAAATCACAAACTCTTAGTTTAGTGAATCATATGAAGTAGACCAGTTCAAATCTTTGTTTTGAATAGCATTTTGTACCTAGCATTATGGACTTGAATGGACATGGATGTAGTTTTATTGCCTTATTAATAATAAAAACAGAGTATTTATATAATACTGTAATATTTTCAGAGAGTGGCAGCCAGTGTGGTTTAGTGGTTAAGGTGCTAAACTAGGAGCAGGGAGACCCAGGTTCTAATCCTCCTTTAGGCATGAGTGACTTTGAGCCAGTCATTATCTCTTGGTCCTAGATTGGGAAGTCAAAAAACTTCTATCTGCCAACCTGCACTGAACCAGCATAATAGATTATGCTCTATAACTTTCAGTGAAGAGGTCTTCAAGCTGCAGTGGATTGATCCTGAATGATGATGATATTTTAGGGGAACCTCATATAATCTAAATAACTCTTAAAATATCAATACTGACCAATTTTTAGTGTTTCCAAATGAATCCTGCTGGTTTCATTAAAACTTAGTCCCGAATAAGTATAGACAGGAGTGTAACCTTATGAGTTCATAGAAGAAGTAAAAGTAGAAAGATCATTCATGGTATTTTAGTTTCAGAAGCAGGTTACATCCAAATTATTCTGGTTTAGTAGTAAGGGTGTTTGTGAGGATGGATAGATATATTCTCTCTTGCACATCCATGCATACAAACACACCTGCCCCAGTTGTTTGTCCTAGAAGGAGGTGGTACCAGTAAAGTTATATTTCACTGTAACACATAGTTCAGGTTCAAAGTGTTATACTGGTTTTCCTTAGTTAAGTTAGTTAGTAAGGTATGCTCTTGGCCATGCATTGTGTGTTTATTGTTGCATTTTGGTTACAGGTTGCTGCATTGCAGGAAGAGAAAAGTAGTTTGCTAGTAGAGAACCAGGTCTTAATGGAACGCTTAAATCAGTCTGATTCCATAGAAGATCCAAACAGTCCAGCAGGACGTAGACATCTGCAGCTCCAGACACAATTAGAACAGCTCCAAGAGGAAACCTTCAGGTGAAAGTTCCATAATAATGTACTAGCGGCTAAGAAATGCTTATTTCATTCTTGTCTGCCTTAGAATGAAGAATTTCCAATCAATTTAAAATTAATTTTATTATTGAACTAATTAAAAGTATGGCTACTTAAAACAATATTAATAGCATAATTTCTAAGTTAATAGTAACGATGAGAAGAAAAAAGGAAAAAGAAAGTCTGAAAATTATATTAAAACAACTCCAAAATATTTGTCTTCTATCTATGCCTTTATCAAAAATACCCAATTCAGATGTTGATAAACAACCCATATCCACAATCCATATAACACTTTTAGTATTGTGTGATAACTCTTTTATTCAGCCCCCGTAAGTGCATCCAAACTTATTAGAGAAGTTGCATTTGTAATTCATTATACAATGATTTCAGACAGATTACATAATCTTTATTGTTACGGTTACCAACCAGCATTTTATACCATTACTATAAAATGTTATAAATTTCAAATCAGAAAGCAAAAGTGTTTCTAAAATCAATAAAACATAGTTCACTATGACACTACAAATGAAAATGATAGAATACCAATAAAAACCCAACTAATAAAAAGAAATCCTAAATATTAAAAATAGCAAGATTCTAAAACTACTTTATGAATAAAGTACTAAAAAGCTTTCTTACTAATTGCTAGGTTGCTAAGTGAGCGTGTATTTCTGTTTGTGTGTATATGTGTGTGTCTAACATTTTTGGGGCCAGTGACTGATCAGGTGTAAATTGAATTCCATATTGCTGGTATCCTAAGGATTAAAGGAGAAATAACAGCTGAAAGAAAATTTGTATCTGTGTGTGTTGGTGGTGATTTAGATCAGCAACTGTGAAACTCTTTACAATTGCCAATAATCCTAAAAATAAAAAGCCATTAAATTTGCCACTCAAAGCTGCATAAAAGTGGCATTGATCATTAGTGCTGTTTGTTTTGCTAACCTTAAAAATACATAATTAAAAAGCTACATGGAGTCTCACTTCTAACTTCCTGGATTAATCTTTGTTTAATTTCTCATTATTTGCTGTGCAGCCTAGGAGGATCTAGTTGATAGCTCAAGAGCTGGACCTGGATCCACAGAATATCTTTCATTACTTTAGGGAAAACAAATAGTTTTCTGCTGTTTTTGAAGGTTAGAAAACCTTCCCAGGTTTTTTTCCCCCTTGGCAAATTTCAGGGGTTTTTAATTTGTTTGTTTGTTTATTTATTTGTTATTCCAATTTATTTTGTTTTAAAGTAGGTTCCACACAAGAGAAGAAGACTGCAGATCTTGATTAAAAGTGTTTTTCCCTATGTAATCCATTGCAGTGTTTTCTTTCAGATTAGAAGCAGCAAAGGATGATTATAGAATTCGTTGTGAAGAGTTAGAAAAGGAAATTGCAGAATTGCGGCAACAAAATGAAGAATTAACAAATCTGGCTGAAGAAGCTCAGTCTCTGAAGGATGAGATAGATATATTAAGGTAAATCATTTTTAATCCTTTAGGTTATATACTTTTTAATACAATTTCACTATCTGTTGATTGGATTAAATCCAACATTGCATACATGGAGTGTCTCTCCCCAAATCCTAGGCTGGTCCTTTGAGGCTCTTGTAGGGTTTCAAAGCACTTTTTAGGATAATTTAGGGATTTTAAAAGAAAACACAATAGTTAGGAAATACTGACCAATAAAATTAGGCCACAGTTTAACAACCAGTGCAATAAAACTGATAGATTCATTGATTGATTGATTGATTGATTATGTGCCATCAAGTCAATGTTGACTCTTAGTGACTATACAGATAGATTTTCTCCAGCATGATCTGTCCCCAACCTGACTCTTTAGGTCTTCCAACAGTGCACCTATTGCCACTGTATTCAAGTCCATCCACCTTGTAGCTGATAGCCCTCTTCTTTTTCCTTTCATCTTTCCCAGCACTATACACTTTGGCAGAGGGCTACATCTTCACATAATGTGTCCAAAATGTGATGAGCCTGGTCATTTGAGCATCAAATGAGAACTCTAGTTTGAGTCTTACATAATCCATTTGTTATTTACTTGGCTATCCATATTATTCTTAGGAGCCTTCTCCAACACCAATGTTCAAAAATTTTTCATTTTATTTTTTTAGTAGAACAAAGAAGAGGAAGGTTTGGGTAAATTATGTATATATTAATTTACAAATAGTCTGGCCTTGAGTGGGAAACTAACTTTGTATATATTCCCAGTGACATAGCAGTGGGTGAAAATGGTAAGACAATATAAAAAGGCAATCTTTGTAGAAAGTGAAAAGTCCTGAATTTGCATTTCCTTAAACAGTTGTTTATCTAAATCACAATGCCATCTTTCTTCTTTCCCTAGTACTACATGGTCAGTGGATGTCTCTTACTTAACGTTTAATTAAATCAGACATACATTTATAATTGGCACCTTGTCCAGAAACCATTGAGGTAGGCATCTGGTAGCACAGCTTCCTGAAAGGCAACAGAGATGAGACTAGGAGATGACGGTGTGCCTAAAGCTGTAGCATATTGTACATACTGTTTCTTTGTAGCCTCATGTGCGTTTCATTTTTGGTTTCCATGCTTGCATTGTGTCTTGTCTGTGAAGCCGTGTTTACTTCTGTTTAATTATACAAGTCAGGTTTCAGATCACATTAGGACTCAGCACAAAGGGAATATAGCAGGGAGTTTGCTTGGAGGAGTGGATGACTGTGTATTTAGACCTAAGTCTCTTTGATTTGTATATTTTTTTTTATGGTTGAAGACCAGCTGTCCATTGCAAAAAGGAAGATGACAAGGAAGAAAGAAAATTCTCAAACTGTATTAAATTAAGTGAACATTACCTTAACATTGGCAAAATGTATCGTAGGCTGTTGTTTATTTATTTCACAGATTTTGTAACCCACTTCTGTCTTTAAACTCTGGTTAGTGTACCACACGGAATAAATGCTGAATAATTTTAAAAACAACAACATACAATTAATACGAATTTGCCAGATGGTGATCAGAAGCATTTATCCTTGGTTAAAAGCCCTGTGGAATAATTCTGTTTTAACAGCTTTACCGAATGACAGAAGGGAAAGAGCTGTTCAACCCTCTGGAAGCAAGGATTCTAGAGAGCAGGGGCCGTAACAAAGAAGGCTTGGTGCTTGGTACATGTATCCCTTACCTCACCATGTTCTTCCCAGATGAGCAGATTCAGTCTTGGCAAGGCAAGGTCTAATATAATCTGATAGTTCACTCTTTAGGGCTTGGTAAGTCATCAGAAGTACATTGCATTGGATTTGGCAATTTATTCATAACCAGTGCAGCAATTGTAGTACATAGTGGTTATTCTACTATGACAAGATTGTCCCATCAGCAATTTCATGGAGGTATTTTGGACTAGCTGCACTTTCCAGGTCATCTTCAAAGGGTACTTTGTGAAGAATTTGTTACAGTAATTCAACCCAGTGGTGATCAGAGCATGAGTTATGTCACCAAGGCACCTGGTCCAGGTAGGGTCGTTCCTGGCATATAGGCTGAAGCTGGTCAGAAGCCTTCTAGCCACAGCCTCTGCCTGTGCTTGAGTCATAGCCATGAGTCCAGTAGAACCCTTAAATCATGAACCAAACCCTTCAGAGAGAGTGCCATCCCATTAAGAGTAGCTACCAGGGTGATATTCCTGGATCTTCATTGACAAAAAACAAAGATTAAGTTGCTTTGGTTTTGGAAGGATTAGTTTGAGCTTATTTTATCCCATCAGGACCCATGTGGAACACTTCCGGAATCTTAGGGCTTTATAATTATATTTATATTTATAATTATGTAAGCTAATCAGGTAGAAAGTTTGGTTTTGAAGATGTTTATAGCTGCAGGTATTTGCTTAACCAACCTTGCTACAGGCAAATTGCTGAATTGGTATCTGCACATACTATGTGTGGGTAGATTAAGAGGTTATATGATAAAGGGAAACTGATTTGTAAATTAGAGGTGGCTTAAGTCATATATGGTAATAGTAGTTACAGAAATGTGGATGAATTATTTAAGCACAGAACATATATCTAAAAGGGTATATCAAGTGTTTGATATGAATTAGGTGGAGTTAAAAGGAGATGTAGCCAAAAGAGGTAATACAGAGTAGCTCCATATTTTATTTAAAGAAAATCTCTGATTCAGTTTCCTGCTGTACCATGAAACACACACCATTTAAGCCTATCCCGATTTATTACTCTAACTGAATTTGCTTTGATACAGAGTTACAAAAATAGTTAACCAAATTATTTATTATTATAGTACTTCATTAGAACAATGGGCTGCTCATTTCAGATAGGTGCTACAGTTGACTCAAGTTATCCATGCCCAATAACACAGTTATATGTGATGTACCCTGAAGATTGTCCAGTAGCTACAATTAATATAAAGTATTATAGTAAGCAAGATCACCACCACCAATATAAACCTACCTGGATGCTTAGATTCTACCTCCAGGTTAGTCACAGTGGGAACTGGATATGGGGCTATTTCAGTTGTACTGCTGGGACCTGTCTTAGTCCTTTTGGCAGCAGCTGTCTATTTACTGTAGCTTGGGCAGTTATATTACACTGTATATTGATTATGTCTTCATTAATTTGTTTTATTATGAATTCATCTTTTTAATTCCTTGTCAGCTGGCATGAGATTTTAGATGAAGAATTAGCAAGAACTCAAGGGACCCATAGGATTGGCCGGATTGACCCCTCCAACTTTGAAGGTGTCCCTCCAAATGTGAAGAGAAAAATAGGCCTTCCCATTGTCTTTTTCCAAGAGGATTGAATTCCCAACTCTGGAAAGTTCCAATGTGCCATGGCTGAATGCAGCTAGGTATACATCCTATCTTCAGGGAAGATCAAGAATTGCTGTACAAGTTTTCCTCTCCCATTGCCCTGCAAGTAGCACAGCTTTAAGACTTACTTGAACAGATGAATCTCGGGCTGCTCTTCCAATAAACTGAAATATATTTTGAAAAAAAGTTTCTAATCACTGAATCTCTGCAACACTTTTTTTTCTAGGCACTCCTCTGACAAAGTAGCCAAGTTGGAAACCCAAGTAGAATCATACAAAAAGAAGCTAGAAGATCTTGGGGATCTACGGAGGCAAGTAAAACTCTTGGAAGAGAAAAACACAATGTACATGCAAAACACAGTGAGCTTGGAAGAAGAACTGAGGAAAGCCAATGCAGCTCGCAGCCAGTTGGAAACATATAAGAGGCAGGTGAGGACAGAAATGAACAAAAATAAAATTTTATCTATTTTACAAATAATTTATGCCGGTCGCTTTGCCATTTCTCCTGGAAGGGTCAATCTGGCCAATCCTATGGGTCCCTTGAGTTCTTGCTATATCTTTGTTGTATATCTGAGTGCAGCAACAGACTTGAATAGGAAATACTAATTTTGCTAAATAAAAATGGGAAATAGCTAGTGACCTTGGGATGTAAATTGATCTTATTCTTTCATCAGTAAAGATATGCATTCTTTTCTATGAGAAGAGTCCAGTTCTTAACATTACTATCACTTTATCTTAATATAGAAGTAACAGTTGATTAATAAACCATTCTATATTCCAGAGTGCTAGATTATCATTCCAGGTTTCCCAACAGCACTGATTGCCACTGCTGTGTTTAAATGCAATGATTTATTGTTATGAGAATAACAATAAGAAGCCTAAGCAGATTTCTGTATACTCCCTGTACCTCCTAGCATGGCCAGTATGGAGAATTTTGAAGCTTCTACTTAACCTAACAGAAAATTAGCTTTATATCTGAATTCAATATACAATTAATAAGGGTTAAAACAATTTAAATAAAATTAACCAGGTTTAAATTACCATTGAGATACCATAGTTGTGGTTTTGGACATGTCTAATTAATTGAAATGAGAAGCTGAAGCTTCTGATCTTGTGGTTGCTTCAGAGGAGAGGAGGAAGGAAGGAGAAAGCATTAATTTAAAGATTGCTGTGATTCATCCTCTGTTATTATTGGCTCTTAATATTTATACTTTAATATTGGTAAATAGTAATCCCTTCTTGCTATTGCAGGTAGTTGAACTCCAAAACAGATTGTCTGAAGAATCCAAGAAAGCAGACAAATTAGAATTTGAGTACAAGATGCTGAAAGAAAAAGTAGATAGTCTCCAAAAGGAAAAAGATGTACGTATTCAACATATACATGTTGCTTTTCCATTTTGTACTTAAAATATTGGTAATTAATGTTGCTGTTTTAAGTTTAGTTTATATATCTTTATTGTGCAGGTGTAGTCAGTTTGAATTCTTCAATTGTGTTTTTCTTATTGCTCTTTATTACCTTCCTTTCAATCTTGGTTTTTTATATAATCTTTCTTAGCGTCCTCTTCTACTTGAGGATTCAGTGATACAATTTGTGTTTGTCCTCAACCAGAAAATAAATTAATCATTTATCAGACAAAACCACAAACGTGAATATTACATGCAAAACAGACAATTTGTTTTTTTAGTATATGTTTTCAATTATTGCAACTTTGCTTCTTGTTGTTCTTTGTGCTTCTCTTCTCTCTGCTGATTTTGTGCAGGGTTCTGTCACTGTTTTGCATGTAATATTAAAGTTTGTGGGATTGTCTGGTCAATGATTAATTTTCTTGCTGTTGGAGGGCAAACACAAATTAAGTAACAACTTAAAGAAAACAGACAAGGATGGGGAAAGGAGTGTGTCATTACAAAACTTATTTTTATTAACATCAAATTATAATTCAGATTTATTTATAAACCTATTGTGTTTACCTGTCTTCTCTTTATTAGCCATCAGGTTTCACAGATCATGTTAATGTACATACTTTCAGATCTAGCTTATCATGTTCTTCATCTTTTCTTCCAAGTAATTACTCATGAAAGATATGATTTTTCCTTCTGTTTCATTTTCTTGATCTCAGATCTCATAATAAGGATTGAAATCTGTATCTGTGTCTATTTAACAGGATTATCTTTCCCTTTGAACCATGGAAAGATATAATAATAAACTGAGCAGAGTAGAGGGTTTAGATGTTCATTAGCCCAGGGATAACAAGAAGTTTTGGGATGGGATAGCATACTTCAGCAAGCCCCGCTCTACTGATGAACCAGAACGTATTGCAGTTCTGTTTTACTGTTGCATATGTATCATAATAATCCACCTATCAGTTGTAGACTTTTGAGCTACCTTTTGTTGACTGTAACCTCACTTCCATTACTATATCCACAATCACAGCAATATGATCCCCGCCTACCTTATCATTAGTATTGTCTAAGAGTATTGTTAAAAGGTTTCATGGCTTTTAATAGATTTGCTTCAGAAATTTTGAACCATATTGTGTTATGTGATACGTATCTAAATATTCCTTCCCATTTTGTAACTCCAACAGGTTATAAATTTGAAAAGATATTAGATAATTTATTTTCCCTTGAATTTAAATTTATAATACATGTTAGAGTTTTTAGGTATGTAACTGCAAAACATACTATAATTTCCAAAATAGTAATGTTAAATTCTGCATAATGACTCTTTGATATTTCAGATTTAGTTTCTCAGGTGGTGAAAAAACCCTCATTGTATGTGCTTCAGAATAAATTATCCTAGTTTTATTATGAAAAAAATGGTTCTTTTGGTTTTGATAATAGCACCACATTTGTATAAAACGTAGAGTGTAGATTCAACCGGCATAATATAGGGGGAGACAGAAAACCATTGGCTAAATATTTGGGCATTGTTTTATATATTCAGTTCTTTTATTTCAAGTATCATATAACACCTAGTGGGAGCTTAGCTTGAATTTAATGCAACAGCTAAAAATTATTTCTGTAAGCTGCCCGGAGTCACCGTGAGTTGGGCAGTGTTATAGTGCAGGCAGTCCTCCAGGATTGCAGAGCCAAAATTCAGCAACAAAATACTGTTTCCCATTACAGTTATGCTGAAAAGCAAATAAAATGCTCTAAAACTTTGTTTGAGCTTAAGGTATCTTAAACCAGTAACACCATGCAATTTGTGTGACACCATTCTGCCATTGCCATGCCATTCATGTTACTCAGCCATCACATTTGCATGTATGTGTGTGTATGATGGATATGATTCAAGAGAGCTACAGTGGGGCAAAAAAGTATTTAGTCAGCCACCAATTGTGCAAGTTCTCCCACT